GGGGGGGGGGGGGGCAGTTAGGGGGCGGGTTGCAGCTTGGTACATTGGGGAGTGCGACCCGGGCTTGGAGTGCTCAGGAGCACGGACAGGGAAGGGGAGTGTGGGGGTACACAGGAGTCCTGGAGGGGTGACGGGCAGGGCCCAGCGCACAGGGGAGGCTGGGACACAGGATCTTGGGATTGAGGTTGGGGTGTGGACAGGGTCCCACCGGGACGGTCCATCCCTGCTTCTGGCCAGCCCGTCTGTTCCCCGAGCCCAGCAGGAAGGCTGCCATGGAAACGGGCAGAAGGAGGTCCCGGGGGGCTGGGAGGGTCCGGGGGCTGGGCACAGCGCTCCTCTCTCCCACCGCAGCATCCACAACGGGGTGATCGCCGTCTTCCAGCGCAAGGGGCTGCCCGACCAGGAGCTGTTTACCCTCAACGAAGGCGTCAGGTGAGTGGCTGTCCCAGCAGGCCCAGGCCCCGGTCTGTGAGGGGCAGGGAGGGCCCCCAGATTCCACCCTGAGGGCTGGACACAGTGGCCACCAGGGCCCCTGATGCTGCCTCTGGCCTCCGCCCCGCCCTCCCGAGGACATCTGATTGGGCTCAAGATAACGCCCACATTCCCGCTGCTGCTGAGCGTCAGGAAAGGCATTTATTCTGTGACCCAGGAAGGACCCACCTGCCCAGTGAGGGAGTGGCATTCCCAGTCGCCCTCATTTCCTGTGAGCGCCAAGGAAGGGGCCCCAGGGGCCGCTTCCCGAATCTGCCAGGCGGTTGCCATAGTGCTGGGTTGTAGTGGAGGCGGCCAAGGCTCAGAGAGGTCGAGAGACTTGCCCAGGGTCACACAGCTGCTACCAGGAGGCATGTGCCGCCTCTGCTGTCCCCTTCTGCCCCGTTGAGCTCAAGGTGGGAATAGAAGGGTAATTGGGACAGGAGTCCCCCCTCCCCCCCAAGCAGGACAGAGCCGAGAGGGCCCTATAGACAGACAGGCCCAGGGAGGGAGAGAGGGCCGGGGAAGCGTGAGAGCAGGCGCTTGTGTCCTCCCAGGCCCACATGTGGCCACCCGGGAGGTGGGGGGTGGGGGGGAAGAGGACCAGAAGCCACCAGGGGTGTCGGTGGGGCCCACGCAGCCCTGTGTTCCTAAGGCCTCTGCTTAGGGAGAGGATTTGTCGCAAGCCTGACGAACCTGCTGTGTTTAAGCAACAGAACATAGGAAATATTTCCAAATTCCTGAGCAGAGCACCGGCACAGGCCTCCAGCAGTGTCTACCCCTTCCCCTCGGCAGCATAAACA